CCATCCTCGGAAGCACGTAAGTACCCATACCCGATCTCACTCTATGCCCCCCCCCCTCCTCCCCACCGTGACCCATTCTCTGCGGGTACTTCTTTAGGTAGCTCGAATTTCGTGACAACACGACAGATGATAGATAGACGTCAGCACTTTGTATAGAGTAAGGACTTTGCATCATCCACTACCCCTGTGTTCTTATCAGCCTCCATCAGCTGTTGCTGGTAGCTGCTTAACCACTTGGCTTGACTACTGCTTGACTTGGAGCATATCAAGGCTGCTGCTGGCTTGAATGAAGGCTTGGAGATACGAAGAGCAAAAGAAGGCTAACGGCAGCAAAGAGTGGAAGTGACGCCGATTCTGCTTGGTCAGTCGCCGTGCGGTTGCGTGGTGAATACCCATGCGCACGTAACGAGTAAATCTCTATTCCGTCAGAGGGAGCAGAGATGGTACGGCTCGGAGTGGCCGGTACTCTATGAGCTCTTTGTTCAGTCTCTGCTGCATAGGTAGCTCTCCGGAAGAGTTTTGTCCAACGAATGCCCAGAGCCTTCATGTCTGAGGACAGGGTAAGGTTCTGCTCGTCTTCTCCTGGAACTAAGAACTCTGAACAAGACATGAACTCACCAGTGAGTTGAACTAGTAGGTGGCAAGTGAGGTGAGGCGAGTAGGTCGCATTCGACTGATTGTAGAATGAACCGCACTCTCTAAAAGTCAAGTTTAAATAGGCATGATAATGATACATAATATTATTGAATAGGATCTACCCTTGATAGCAGGGATAAGCCTAACTGATTGTCATTGGTAGGATCTTCATCAACCTGATTCCACCTTCCGAGTCTTTCGTTGTTTCCCAAAGACTAAAGCCTATTAACTACATAGGTGCTTCTCTATTGGTAACTGGTGAGCATCCTTACATTTGATCAAAGCATCCCATCAAACAGAATAATACTCGGGAGCTCATTGATTCTTCTCGATTCAGGAGATATGGCCCACAAAGAGCTGCACGACCAAGTCCGTCGGCAGTTTTCCTTGTTATGAGATGTGGGCCGGGCAGTT